CATGGCCTTAAGTTTCTGAGGAGCATTTTTGGGTTGCCTCTGACATCCTCAAAGCTTAATGTCCAAAATATAGGCCCAGAAGCAGATAAACACCAGGAAGTTTTCATAAGTGGGTAGATTTTGTTACATCTGAGCTTTTAGCTCCACCTCCTTACCACCAGAAGTCTCCCTCTCCTACATATTGACTAGTTTCCAGTCCCTCCCAAGCCTTTCCTTAGCAACTATCCTGAGCTGAAACATCAAATGAAACTTAAAAAAAAAATGTATTATGTCAAAATACATGGATACCTTTGAATGGTCTTCAGTGAGAGGGATGGATATTTGCATGCTCCTGAAACAGGACAGAGCTTGAGCAGCCATCACTTGTACCTTACATGCTGCAGACCCCACTATTCTCTCTCAGGCACTGAAAGCCATAACCAATTCACTGACTGTCACAAAATCATCTCATCGCTGGAGAATGAGGACTGCTAATTTATTCTAAGTACCATTATGCCACTCAGGAATCTGCAGCACTGATAAGCTACTTATCAGTCTCATGAGTGCTATTATATAAAATGTAGGACAAAACTGCAGTGGTCAAAGCCATTTGCATTTCATTATTTGTTGGCATGACAACTAACAGAGATGACACATGGGGTCACAGAGGAGAGGCGAGGTCTTTATAAACGTGGTTGTTTGCATGCAGAGATTTTTGTGAAGTGGTGACATCATTTACTGAAGCATCCTTCTCATACTGTACGAAATATGACGTTTTAGTTTTAAATGGAGAGAAAAATTGCGTGTGCTTGGTAATGACGCAGTGAGTAAATCGTTTTTCTTCGGTTTTAACTGTCATATTCATCACCTGTGGTACGTGTGCTTTTCCTGTCTGTGTTATAATCTCAAACTGTCTTATTTCTATTGTAGGATTACATTTAGTTGCTTAGCAACAATGGACTGCTAGAGGAAAGTCTGATGATAGGAATTACTGCTTCTTTTTAAAAAGGACATTTAATATATAAATGAAATATATAATATTGACATTCTAAGTCAAATAACTTATGTTTATGACACTGAAAAACATTTAAACAAATAAAAATACATTTAAAGCTTTAAATCTGTTGCATCTATTGAAATCTATTGCAATCCACAAAAACTATGCTAAGCACCAAAACTGTAAAGCTTCCTCAGAATCATTTAATTATAACTTTACTGCCGCATATTATGTATTTTACATAAAAATTAAAGGCAAAAGGAAGAAATACTTGTCTTAGGAGGAGTGAAATGCACATACATTTTCAGAAGATTTTCTTTTAATTAAAAAAAAACTCCAGCTTATGTTTATTTCACTGCTAAGCTGCTAACATCCACTCCAACCAAAATTAGTGTCCAACATGCATAACAATCCATTTCTCTAAAAACAGTTTCCTCAACAAACCCTGATTTGTGATCTCAGTACCACTATAAACTACTGCCTGCCTCCGGAGTTCATTACCAGCCCAGTGTAAACACATAATTCATCTGACTGCGGTTAAGAGTGTTATTCAAGCCAGTATGATGTTCCTTCTTGGAACACGAAAGAAGGCATTTTGAATAATATTATGCAGTTAAAATGACTGGGACTTTCAAGCTTCAAAAAGGACACATGGGTAAAGAATCATCCCCCTTTAAAATAATCACATTTTGTTGCTTTGCAGCCTGAAATGAAGACGGACACAGTTTTTGTTTTATCCAGCTGTATTTACTCAGTGCAACTTATAACATCCAAGTAAAAGATACAACACCAACATGTCAGAAAGGAAAAAAAATAAAAAAATACAATCACGGAGTTGGGAAAAGGACATATCGTTTGGTGTTGTGGCCAAATAATTAAATTTTAGTCTTATCTGCCTCAGAATCTTAAGGTGCATTTAGGCAAAGCTCAGTCTGACTGCATGTGGCCTTTCTTGAGGAGTGGCTTTTTTCTTGCAACCCTCTCATACAAGCTACATTTGTGGAGGATTTGTGATATTGTCACATGCACACAATGACCACTCTTTGTCATAAACTCCTGCAGCTGCTTCAGAGTTGCTGTAGCTCTCGGTCGCCTCTCTGATCAGTTTCCTCCGGCTCTTTCATCCAGTTTGGAGCGACTTCCTGATTCAGGAAGGGTCTGTGTTGTACCAAATACCTTCCACCTCTTAATAACAGACTTCACTGTGCCTCTAGACATTGATACGGCCTTTGATTTTTTTTTTTTTGTGTTAATCTCCTGACTTGTGCCTGTTCATAACTTTATCCCGGAGATCTTTTGACAGTGTCTTGCCACCCATAGTTGATTGTTTGCTTCAGATTCACTACCAAGGACTGAAATGCTCCAGGAAAGCTCTTTTCATGCTGAGCTGATCAAAATGAGCACAGCTGATCACAGTTGAAAATCAAATGGCTTTGTGTACCATTGAGAAGGTGATTCACTACACCTGATTAGGTTTACAAGTCATTTTTAGGAGGGGGGTGATCCTTTTTCCAACTCAGAGATTCTGGTTTTTAATTTTTTTTGTTTATTTTTTCTGACGTTGGCGTTATATCTAAGGCCACATCCACACGAAGCCAGAGCTTTCCCTATTCCGTAAACATGGCATCGTCTCAAGAAATATTTGCGTACACACGAAACCACTGAAACTGACTCAAAATGATGTAGTATACATGTCAGACCAGTATGTGGCGCTGTAATTCTGCCACAGAGATGCAGTAAAAACTTGGACTTGGAGCATGCGCATAAACCTTGCACGCTGTTTACAAACAACTTTGCTTTAGTAATTTTTTATTTTGATTTGGTAAAGCTAATAGGCTCAGTAGCTTCTGCAGCACGAACACAAGCATGTTGTTGTTGCTGTTACGTGAAATAGCGGTGTCTGACTAGGGTCGAGATGTGGGGGGATGACATCATCGGTTCACAAAATATACGAAAATATATTTTCACAAAATATATTGGCTGTACACACGAAAACGTAAGAGTGTTGTTTTCAGATTTATCCACTTAAAAAAACAGTGCTTTCAGGTTCCCAAAACGACAGATGCGTCTC